TGTTTTGTGGATGAGAATGCTCCCTCCCCTCAAAATATTTGTTTTGATACCCACAAAGTAGTATAATGTCATTTAGCGAGGAAAATTCTGGCAGTCAATGCACAATCTGGCAGGGCTACAAGTACTGTAGGTGTTATGATACACACGCAACATGTTTTACAAATAGAAAGTGGTTTCCAGAGTTCTTTAATATATTCTAATTTCCCCCACCTCTGCCCAAAAAAAAGCTGCAGTTATGAAAATACTGTTGCATACTGAAATATTAAACTAGAAATCTGGAGAGAGTTGTTTTTTTTAAAAAAAAGCTCTCTTTTCAGCTATTTCTTTTTCTTTCTTTCTTTCTTTTTTTTTTTAAGGCAGGTATGTTTTTAGCAACTTAAACAGGTTGGGTTACCCACAAGAAGTAGTAATTTTTCCACCTAGCAGATTGAGGTATTCATACCCTCTTTAAACATTTCTAAATTTATTCTCCAGTATTATTCAAATAGAAATATTTGCACCCTGTATACCCTGAATTGGATAAAACCTTTTCAGTATTAACCCATGGGTAGAAACCACACAAATGAAGATTAACAAAATGTACCTTCTTTGAATCCAAGCAGCTTCTGGAAGAAATTCTTCCAAAAATCCATCCTACCTCAATTAGTTGTTGATATTATATATTCATTTTATAGGAGAATCTCGCTGAAGAGCAAAGCTAGTACCTGTACAAGACTGACTCCTTACCTGAAGAACTTGCTAGCTAGTAGCCACATGAGTAAGAAGCTATTAATCCATTTTACAGAATCAAAGAATTATTAAAATTGGAAAAGATCTCTAAGATCATCACGTTGACCATCACCCAACCCCACTATACCCACTAACCCATTTTGCTCAGTGCCACATCTCCACGGTTGTTCAGTGCCTCCAGGCACAGTGACTCCACCAACTCCCTGGGTAGCCTGTGCCAGTGTGTTACCACATGATTTTACAGGTGGGAAATCAAAGAAATAGAGTGAATGAACTTCTCATGGCCACCCGTAACACCTACAATAGAACCAAGCACTGAACAGTTTCCTCACATGCTAGCCCCAAGCTTCAGAGACGACGCAAGGCTCCCTTCCTCAGAAATTGCTTCAGAACCTTCTTTTGAATTCCCAAGGTGCAGAAAAGCTGAGTTTGCACTTTTCCAAGTCTCTGAGGTCATCAGCTTCACTCCCAAGTGAAGTGACCACACTCACCTTCGGGAACAAAGAGCATTCAGGCATGAGCAATGAGTCATGTCTGTTTGTCAATAACTGCTCCATCCAATACATGTCTGTGCTTTGTGTGTGGGTACTTCCAAACCAGACCTCCACATAAAATCACAGAGCAGAGACTTAAGTGTCATGGAATTGAGTAAATCTTGCTGCCTTGGTCAGCACTAACTACGCGGTGTACATTTGCACAGCAAAGGTGTGTCAGAAATTTCCTCTGAGAACCTGAATGGCTGGGCATATATGTCTGCAGTGACATCCAAATCCAGTGTCCTAACAGTTGGGTATTTTCATGATCTAAATGAAGACGTTTCCAGCTTGTCTGAGACAACAATCTTGAGGAATGACACTATTCTCAGCAGAGTGTCTTGGGATGGGGGATTAGCAAATAGGCATGAGTTCCCCCCTGGGATTCCAAACCTGTAAGAAGAATAGCAACATAGAGGAAAACTGCAGTCTATCATGAGGCTTGGCAAGCTGGGGTATCTCAAGCATGAGAGGAATTCTGGGAGCAAGACCTGGAAATGACTGGGCTTTTTTAGGATTCATGACCTGTTTATTTCCAAAGCCTACAAAAAGCACTGCACTCAAGCCTGATACATTTGCTCTGCAAGCCTTTCCAGTTACAAAGAGCCACACATGAAATGTCTCCCAGACAACTTTTAATTTCAACACATGAAGCAGCTGTGGGGGTTCATGCAGGTTGTGACAAGGGAGAAGCTGTCATGCAGCACTGCTACTGGACAGGTGGTGAAGTGATACTCAGAATGAGGCTGGAGGTGGCAGCTGTGCCATCCATTGTGTATTGTAACCATAAGGTCTACCTCTAGCCTGAGGACAAGAAAGGAGAGCAGAAGTTGGTGCAAATTACAGGAATTACTTAAATAATGCTTGCTAGAAAATTACATCCCCATTCTGCCGTTAGCCTGCAAGTAGCTCCTCAGACAGCAGAGTAACTCTAAAATAAAGGAGAAACTGAGTGATTGTGCCTTTAGCATTTCTTACCTGCTTGCAAATAGCCTCCTGTGTTTACAACTCTGCTTACTGGGTTGGATCCTCATCTGGCCAGCCTCTTATAGGTGAACTCAACAAAGCTGATTTCATGTAGCAGGAATTCACGATTTACAAGAATTTGCTACTAGTTACTACAACTTGTTGTCTGTCGCCAGGACCTTTGCTAGACTCAGTAATATTGATTTCTCATGCTATTTCCCATCTGCTGCTGCTGCACAGGTACCACAGACCATTGTTTATGAACACAGAGCCAAGTTTTGCAGCACCTGTCCATTTGTGAAAGATTTTGAGCCTGTCTCTTCACCTTGAAAAGTGGATCTGGAGATGTAACCCTGGCCATCAGCCCCATCTCCAGCCCAGCTGAGTCCCAGCCCAGCAGACCACGTGGCTAAGTCCCAAGGGACTTCAGCATGTGCTTAAGGGCTCTGCTGGATCAGTTCCTTTGCAACCAGTCCGACTGCTTTGTTAGCAGTGCTGAGCACCAGGGCTGAGCTCCAACAGGAAATAGCAGCTTCCCTTTGAAGTCCTGCCACTGATGTTCACGTAGGTGGGACTTCAAAGAGGAGCCACCGCTTCCCCTCCCAGTATCGGAGGCCCCAGTGTTGGAGAAGCAGTAGTGCTGGTTTTAATTGCATTAAGGGATGCTTTAGGGCGGACGATTCAGCCTTTCTCAGTAAAAGGACAACTTTGAAAGGTTCCCACCTGCTGGCAATAGACCCAATGAAAGGTTCAAGCTTCTAGTTTATTCTGAAGCTGTACTGCTGGTCGTCATAAGGGCCCCTTGACAATTGGGATGTGGATGAGGAATGGGCAACCTCAGCTCCCATAATAGAGGGCACTGGAATGAACTGACCTCAACAACAGTTACATTGAGCCAACACCACAAGATACACCCACAGGCAACCTAGATGGCTGATTCTGCTGCTGACTGACTGTACAATCATACACGAGAGCACCTTCAACTTCTCTGTATCTCTTTTCCTTGAGGGAAAATAAAGCAGAGAAGTCTTCATCCTAAATGGTCTAAATAAACTCAAACGATTCCAAAACAGGACTCCATCTTCTCTTTCTCCACTTCTACAAAGACTGACAACATCTTGCAAAGATTGACTTAAAGCTTCTTTAAGTCTTCAGCCAGATCAGAAAACTCTGAGAAGCACTGAGTACTGAAAGCACTAGAGAAGCAGTCAGTATGACCAAGAAACAAAAGAAATGATATTTAAGGCTTGCGCTGATCTGCAAAGCTCTTCCATGTCCATCATGTTGTTTTTCTCTTACCTGGACTTCACTTCATAACTCTACATTCCATGTATTTCTATATTCAAAAGCCAGCTATGCAAATACACGTGGATTCAGAAGGTAGGTGAGTAATTTCATTTTGTTTGAGGGCTGAACACTTTGCGGCCTCATCCCATCGAGTTCAGCTGAGCTTTGCTGTTCAGGTCACTGACTTGCCATAATCTGGTCATCTCACCTGACCATTTCACATTTTGTATTTCTGCACACAGCACACTTGCTCAGTGCAGAACAAACCTGAGTCAGCAGCAAAGCAATACAGCAGTGGGGAGCAATAAGAGGAGGAAGTTTACTCCATTGAAAAAGCAGAGAGGTACTCCAAAAGTGCAGAGAGATCCTGACACCAGACCCCTCAGGCTGACAGGAGCAGCAGTATCCATACAGTGTGACAGGACTGCACTCGACCACTCAGAAAATCCCAGATCAAACTCTGATGTCTGTCCTAGTGTGGAGAATGGCTGAAAAGTCAAAAATGGCAAATGGCTGAAAAATCATTTCTGGCTCAGGAAGAAAAGATTAGCAAAGAAAAATGCAGCCATGTGCCTATGGTTTTGCTTATCCAGCTCAACTGCAGGACAGCTCATATAGAAATTCTTAAAAATTTGCCACTTTTTATCAACACAAAAGGTTTTTTTTTTTTTAATATATTTCTTCTAAAGATTTAAGCTTTTACAAAAGTAAAAAAAAAAACAACACCAAAATGCCACTATTTTCAGCCCATTAAGAATTCCTTGGATTTAGGAGACTGGGGATTTAAATTGCTTTTTTTTTTTCTTTTTTTCTCTCTCTTTTTTTTTTCCCCCTGAATATTTAATTTTCATTTTCCACTGAGGGTGAAAAAAATATTCTGGCCAAGCGTAGGTTTCTTTGCAAGGTTGAGAAGGGCAAGGGGGAGGAAGGGGTGCAGTATTTTTCCTTAAGGACACAAACATTCTCTTATAACTTAAGTCACCGCTGCACTTGTGAGCCTGACAAATTTAGAGGACTTAAAATCAATCAATAAAAAAAGAGCTTGACCACAAAGGAAGTTCTGGTCAACCCTTCAGCTTTACATCATAGGCAACATTTATTTTATCACAGCCTTACAAAAATTAAAATAGAAAAATGCATCTTCTTGGGAAACAGTAGTTATTTTCTTCCCCCGCTCAGATATTTTTATAAGCCCAGTTCCACCAGCCTCACACTGAGGCTGAGAATCACCTTATCCTGCAGGGCAGACCATTTATTTAGAGGCAAGATATTATGTCCCAGGCAGGACACTAAGATGCCTCCACCCAACAAAAACTCTACTATGTAGCTGAGCTGGACCAACCTCCATCCCAGGTCCAAGTCTGGTTTGAAGCATAACCCATACTGTCTGGATACTAGCCTCTATAAATAAACGGGCAAGAAGGTTTGGAGAAGAGGTGAAGCCTTTCTCATTAGTTGCAAGCTAGGAAGGAAGTTGTACCTTACCAGAGACTGCAGGAATTCACAGCTCCCTCCTTCCCTTAATAGCACTGCTGGAGGCAGGCAGGGCAGAGCAGCCTTACAGGGATGGTCCAGCAAAATAGCCAAGACAACCTGTGAAATGAAATACTGCACATGAGTAAGGGTGGCAGAACTTGCCTGACAGATACCTTTCTTGCTGGCTAACCATAACCACAATTTATAGCTGTTTCCATTAAATCTTAGCAAAATGACACAACAGCACAGAAACTGAACTGAATTGCTGGCAAAAGTAAGTCTTAGCCCATCCTTGTTCAGAGAGCTGCTTCTGATAGTCTGTCACCTTGCCCCTCCCAATGTTTTTTGGTTGTTTATACTTATTGGCTTCAGCAGAACTTCTACTGGGAAAAGGTTTCTCAGGTCCAGGACACTTCTGGTCAAAACACACATAAACACTGGCCACTCAGAGCAGCCAATGGTTTCAGCATTCTGCTGGAGTGCAGAAGCCCTACGTTTCGAGGCCTGATACACATCAGGGAGCTAAGCTTGGATCTGCTAAACCCAAGAGGGATATCTTAACCCCTAGGCAAGAGGCCACTCTTGGATGCTGCTTTCCTGTCGGAGTCATTTGAGATTGGATGTAAGTAATAAAATATTTGCTGGTAACAGTGAGACCAGTTCAGCAGCCCAGAGGCCAGAACACTGAGCCAGAAAGAGCAGGAACATGATGCTGGGTCTCCCGTATGCCAAGTGAGTGACTTGGCTATCAACTGGTTTACTGTGGTAATGAGAAAAAAAACAAAACCTTTATGGATCCTGTGTCTTTCAGGCAGAATGGAAAAAACTTGAAATCTTGCAACATCTTGTGCAACAGGAGAACCATTTCCTAGCCACTGCTATGGGGGGTAAATCTGCAGCGTTTATCACCTCTTGTCTCCAAAGTCAGAACCTGGCCTGCTGCCTTCCACCCTAATTCAGAATGCACTTTCATCTCTAGAATAAACACCAAGACATATCAAAAGCCCTGTTGACAGTACTGCTCTCATTTTCTGCTTTAAGAAGTTGCCAAAATGCACAAAATTAAACTCTCCGAGTTCACAGTAGGCTGTTCTGTCAGTTTATCCAATTGGTAACATAATACTATCGTAACCTCTGTGATTCTCACTCTTCCTTTTTCTTTCCCCTCCCCCCTTCTTTCTTTCTTAAGCGAGAATTTCCCCTGGGAGGGAACACATTTCCCCCCAAAATTCAATCGTGGCATCAAATTTCAGATCTACAAATATAAATCAAATCCCGTTCCTCTGACACGGAGGAATACCGCATCGCACGGCATGCTGCGGAAGCACTGTGTGCCACAGCAGGTAACCACGGCTAGCACCAGGCTAAAGGAGCTTCTCAGGGAATACTCTCTCAAATTGCAGGAGTTGGAAAGAAATGTTCTCTGCTGCCTCTTACCTGCTACCTAAAAAAGCACGTTTGAGGGCTAGCCCTGTACTTTTTGTGTTCTTCATTGATCCTTTCAGAACTAAAGAGAAATTTCCTGGCCTCCAAAAATATGGAATTAAGTCCTTCCTTATTTCATTAATGAAAACATGAGCAAAATAAGCAGCACCATTTAACAAACTGCAATTCTGTGGAAAACTTCTAGGAAAACAGAAGCAATGCCAAACATTTCTCTAGCACCAGAGTTCCTAAGCAAGGAAATATATCCCTACAGTAAGACATGCACGACATTTCCAAACGACCTCTGCCTGAAATCAAAGTGGAACATGCCTTACCTCAGTACATAATTCATTCTTAATCTATTAATGATGTGACTCATTAACATATTAGTAGTAGTAGCGGTGTTAATAGTAGTAATACTGCTAATAATGTCATGGCAGTGCTAACAGGTTTGAACATGCCAGTTCTTCTACATGCGTAGATCAGAAGGTTTTGTGACCCGGTACCGTAGAGAGGGGAAGAAAATAAGTTTGACAGCCTTACCAATTACTTCATGGGATGTCTGTTATTACCTCATTATCTCCCTGTATTGTCTCTTCTTATCTGCCTGAGGAATCACAGAAAATCTAAATGTGTGATCATAAGATTGTTCAGGCATGAGATCCCTGATGATATCTTTGCTGGACAACAGGATGAAGCCCCAGAGAATGTTTTTTTTATACTTCTTGAATGTTTCCGTTATTGTGCAGTCAGGCACAAAACACCTTTGCAGGACATGCTGGGATCCTGGAGAGCTTTCTGTTTCTCTGCACTGCAGGAATAGACTTTATGAAGTCATTTCACAGACCCTGTCAAGAACTACTGGGGAGGAATTACACACAGCATAAGAAAAGCTGTTGCGTGCCTGGTTTTCTACCCAACATTTCCCTACTTGGATATCTCACTTAAAAGGTGTTTGAGAAATTGATCTCTTTGTTTGGGACTTTCAGACACGCAATTCCCCTGATGCTGAGGCAAGTCTGGTTCACCCACCAGGCTCAGCTGGCATTTCCACACAGCCAGCAAACCCACAGAGCCCATCAAAAGCATGCTGACCTAGAGCTGAGCTCTGCCTGAGGTGCAGACACATGGTGTTCGTATTCTGTGAAGGAAAGGTGCCTGCATAACACAGTCAAGAGTTATGACCTCATGATTTTGATCTGATTTATCCTAAGCGTAAATATTACTTACAAGATTTAATATAAAATCCAGATTCTGATTTTAAGTAACCTTAAACATCTCCTGCTTTAAGAACTCAGCCTTAGAGTCAGGACATTCCCTGGTTCTACAAAACTGGCTAAAAAAGAAAACTTGATGGTATCCCTAGCTTCACACATAGCCACAATCTGCAAGCACAGGTCTTCCTCTGCTCCTCTGCGGTCGAGGAGGTGAAGATGAGCTATCCCATAACATCTTGCCATATAGCCTTGAATCCTGTATGACTCGGAATAAGAGGAGATGGAAAATAACTTCAGCAGCACAGTGTAGGAACAATATAAAGCAAGACTGCAATTATCTTCCTGCTCAACCCTTACAGTGCTGCAATGAAGTCTCTTCCGTTCATGTCTCATCTACATGCAAAGGTGCATCTTGGAGTATATCTGAAGAATGAATGCTCTAAGGCCCTCACTAGAAAAAAAAGCCAAGTGGTACAGGTCACTTAGACACCAAATCAACTGCATTCATGTGTATATCCAACGGTAACCAGTGGTTTAAAAAAACAAAAAAAAAAAAAAAAAAAAAAAAAGCATTCCCTAACCAAAAAATTCTATCAATGCAATTTTTCATGTAAACCAGGCTTAAAAATAGTTCTTAGAATAGCTGCCAGGAAAACTTTCTACCTTTCCAAGGCTTCCCCAAGACTCACGGTACCCAGTAGGTCTTTTAACCTCCATCTCTGGAAATCTAGGACTAGGAATGGACCTATGTCCTTGCGATGGTGCCCACCAGCCTCAGGATCTGCCCAGAGATGCTCAAAACCCAGGAAACTCAGTATTTCAGAAGAAGGAAAACACCATAAGCACAATTTGTCCACCTTTCAGACGGCAGTTAAAGGATACCCATTAGGGCTGACAATCACACTGTCATTCCGATACCGTTCACGTAGAGCTCTGCACTCCAGAGAGCAGCTGGAAGGGGGGTCTGCAACTCCATGGCCAAGGCTGTTGTGGGATAGCTGGAGCCACACCAGGAGCTGTTGATGTTTACCTTTGCAACTGGTTTACCTAGCTTCCACCTGCTGGCTTCTTGGAGCCCCCGAACTATTATTATTGAGGAAACTGTATTAACTGCTACGTGCCCAAGTAAGTAGACAGGCTCACCCACAGGGAATGGGAAAACAACATCTCAAAGGCCAATAACTCCTCCTCCCTTTCCTCAGGCTCACATTTGTTTTTGAAAGCAGAACCAAAATGAGGCCAGGTCGGCCCATGCCAGGCAGGAGGGACACGGCCCCAGGATCTTCCTTGCCTGCTTTTCATAGCTTTGCCCAAACCACTCAGACAATGGGCTGAAACCCACTAACTGCACTTGCTGGAGTAACTCTGCAACCTTGCCACTGCTGTCTGCCTTCCTCCTCCAAACTAAACAACCCCCCATGTCACCAGTGGGGTGAAATACAGCACGTGAAAGGGGAATCTACACCTCACTCCTCTCTAGAGCAGGGGACATCTTCCCAGTGCTCCTGCGCTGTAGGAACACAGGTTTTTACATTCAGGCCGCTTTCACAGAGGTTCCTGAGAGGAGAGATCCTAAACTGAAACCACATTGCCCAGTCTGAGCCAGAGCCTGTTGCATGAGCTCTGTCTGCTCCCCAAGCCTTTCCAGTACTGATTGCTTTCCGGCAAGAACAGTGGGGCTTACAGCTCCCGGGAACCTGCCAGCACGGAAACAGGGATGACTAACAGCTCACAAGCATCCACCAGAGCTTGGAGACTCCCTTCCATCTGTCCAGGTCTTGGTTGGTGCAAAGTGGTCTGAACGGCTCTTTGTGTCTCTAGCTGCTACTAGAGAAATATCTTTCCTCTTTTTCCTCTTTTTTTTTTTGTCCCCCATAGAGAAGCTGTTGAGACGTGCTCACCATCTTGCTCTTTTCTGATAAACCTTTCGGCATCCTTCCGTTTTCTGGTTATTCATTTGTTACCACTGAAATCTGATTCCCAATCTCAGCCTCCTCTTATCGGCCCCTTTCACTGAGGAGTTCCAAAGCAATGGGTTAGTTTTAATCTTTGCGCTCTTTCTCTGTCCTCGAGGCCTTGTTTTTGCTGGGGAAGGAGGTGAGTGATAGGATGACGTTTGTGGGGGGAAGGGGCTGCCATCCATTAACTCACTGTTATCTATCTATTCATCTTCCCAGCAAGACAAAGGTATGATTGTGGCTCCAGCTGACAGACCTGCGCTGGCTTCACTCCAGCTCCCATGGGTCACAGGAGCAGCACAAATACAGAGACATGGCCCGAGCACAGCCTAGTGCCCAGAGAAAGCCCACTGGGCTCTGTGCTGAGGTCTGCGCTCCACACCTGTCCAACTGATGCACCCAAGCTGCCCCATCTTGCCACAGGCTCTCTGCAGTCAGGTGCATAAACCTGCCATGAAAACTTGGGACTGATTCTGCACCACCCCAGCATCCGGCAAACCCATTTTGGGCTGTGCTC